CTTCTCTACCGAAGCTGGCCGAAGCGCGGAGCGTACGCGAACGAGCGCTTACGCTAGGTGTGTGTCAGCCTATCCCCTCCACGTGCTGCAGCGTGGCTGGACATCCACGATCTGGCATCCCTTGCAAGTACTTCTCTTTTTTTCTCTAATAAACTCTGAAGAGGAAAGATAAACTGTGTAAACAGTTCAGCTAAAAAGAAAATCGGCCTTTTGATTAACCAATCAAAGAATTCTATCAATTGACCAATCAAACGAATACTTCGAAGCACCCGTAGTATCAAATGAACTATCTTTGTTAAAACCAACATGGCAATACATCGTAAATATTGACGTGACTTGTAATGACAAGTTGTCACATACATGTAGAACACATAGTAGAACATGCTCGAAAAAGAAATCATATGAATTGTGTCGTCGTTATTTGACGTATAGAAATTTCGTTCTAATTTTTTGTTAGGAATGTCAGGTGAAATGTTAGGATCGTCAGGTGAAATGACAGCTCCTCCTTGAGAATCCTTTGAAAAATTCAGCAGCAATCATGATTATTACTCTCGAAATTGGCAAATAAACTGCCTTCTGCCTTCAGTACGATGGCACGTGATCACAATGTCATCATTAAGCGCGAATTTTTAACTAATATTATTCAACACATGCAATGGCAATGTTAAATTTTTATTTAAAACAAGGAAACAAAATATTACTTTTATAGTTTCTTATTATATATGTACTTTATCTATTTTTTATACTTTTATATCACATGTTCGTATCTGTTTACTTTTGTCTATACTTTTCTGTAATCAAGAGATTCCATTAATACTTTATTTCATTATAGCATACCTGTGAAAGTTATTTCTTGCTTGAAAATATAAATAATTGGACTAATTACAAAAATAATTTGTAATGCTTTTTGCATATTTTTCAGATATAATGAAAACCAATAAAAATGTAAGTAATGGTGGACTATGGGGAGAGTTGCCAGCACGGGAAATGCTTAAGCAAGAAGTAATAACACCAGATCTAATCGAAAATGTTTGGCGACAAGTACTTGATGATTCTAATAATACAGACTGTGATTACCGAATTGATCAACAACCTGAATATTTACAGTGAATGATTTTTATAATATAATATTGATGTAAAGAAGTGATGAATTATATTCTTATTACATACTGTCAATATTATTTTGTAGATTATCAACAGGAAATTTACATGTATTAAACACCATAAATTTTCACCAACAATTACGTACAATGGTAAAAGATTAAACAAATTTTTTGATATAGAATTATTTATTAAAATTAATTATGTATTGCTCAAAGATATAAATCTTTTAATGACATATTAATCTGTATCTCTTTTTAGGAAGAAGGGACTGTGCTTGGAAATATGACTGTCATAGAGTCACAGGATGTGAGAGACACACGATCCAGAAATCTGTTTCACTTCCTACCTTATCAGTTAAACAGGTATTTTTTGAATCACATACATCAACTTAAATTATCAAGATATAACGTAATTATATTATTTTAGAAATACATTTAAAGATAGTTCTACTATACATTTAACACCACAAACTGCACAAAATTTGTTAAGGCATACTGTGACTACTTTATTAGCTCACATAGGATTTGAAAGTTCATCAGATATAGCTATAGAAACCCTTACCGATGTTGCGAATCACTTTCTGAGACGGATGACTCTTCTATTAAAAGTAGCAACTGAACAGAAGGACTGTGGATTTCCTGTAAGAGAGAAGTACACGATTATTAATAGAACATTTATATGATTGTCTACATGTTATATATATTTGTGCACTTATCAGGATGCTGTAGAGAGAGTGTTGCTGGAGACAGGCGTGGGAGGTGTATCAGCGTTACACGATTATTATCAGGAATATGTCTTGAAGTTCGAAGAGAATATGAAGAAGAAAGTCGAAGAAACGATGGAAAGACAGAGGCAACTTGAACTTAATGCTTGTAGTACTAAGTATTGAATCGCATTAAGCAATTGACAAGATTTTCTTAGAAAGTACACTGTCCATTATCCATCGAAAATAATATACATTATCTTTCCAGGATGGTTCTAGATGAAGCAGCTAGCAAATTACAATTTGACGAACTAGACGAGTTCGGTAACGTATACCGGGAGGTCCCAACACTGCAGTTGCTCGATCCTGAAATGGGATTCCCACCCAGTCTGGATGCTGGCTTTCAAATGCTCTATAGCCTCGAACAGGACGAGTAGGCTTTCCATCGCGCGTACTCACGTCCGTCGCAGACCAGAGTGATAATCTTGCTGCTTCCAGATTGAATAGCGTGGAAATGAAAGAAGAGGTGAACGTGAGCGATTCCCCGAGCATGGGGCAACGGTCAGATGCATCCGTGGATAAAAAAACGTTTTGACGTGTTCTATAAAATTAATATAAATGGAATTACAGTGTTTGATTGTAACATGCGTAATCCGTGCGTAATTTATTATCTCGATGCTGAAATAAAAAGTTCACATTGGTCCTCTCAAACTTTGCTTTGGGTTTTTTTTTTGCGTCAGATTTGTGAGGACGCAAATCTCGGGCTGTCGATGAAACAGGCCGCGTATGATAATCCAAGCATTTATGGTAGGTCGGTAAAGCGGAACGCGCGTTATCCAGAGTATTGCGGATTCGCGTTTCCACGAAGTGGATTGTTCATGCTTCCGTTATTTACAATATAGTATACTTTCCTCGTACGTCTCTTTTTACGTTCGTCACGTTTTCCCGCTCTCGAATGTGTCGTCACTGAGTGACCCCAGCGCCCGGAGTGTAGCATATTAGCTTTCGCCACGCGTCCTACAATTCTGTCGTGACGCAAGCTGACGACACGTCAAAAATGGCAGATTCTGCGCCTAGCAAGGCTGACATTGAGGAAATTTTCAAGAGGCTACGGACTATCCCGACGAACAAGGTTTGTTGGCGAGCACGACGTCGCGATCCGAGATCGATTGCGAACAGAAATTAGAATGATTGTCATCTACAAAATGAGCTAGGGTTGTAAACGTCATGTTCATCACAATCCAGTCTATACTTCTGCGAAGATGTCTCACTGTCTCTCGCTGTCTTCCACTCGCACATACAAAAACGGGAATCACGATGACACGAGATCCAACATTCAATTTCACAGCATTCGATATAAAATATTTATATACAAATATTTCATAAAATAATTTCACGAAAAATGAAATTGTGTGATATAAACTGCACTTTGTTCAAAATTTTAAAATTATTTAACATCACTATCATCTCTTTCTTTTTATAGTCATGTTTTGATTGTAACGCAAAAAATCCAGCATGGGCCAGTGTAACATACGGTGTCTTCTTGTGTATCGACTGCTCAGCTGTACATCGTGGTCTGGGAGTGCATCTCACCTTTGTCAGATCTACCCAACTTGATACAAACTGGACATGGCTACAATTAAGAAATATGCAACTGGGTGGTAATGCCAATGCTGTGAGTTTCAATGAGTTGTAACTAATAATTCCTCTATTACTGACAAAATGGTTGGTAAATTAATGAGTCATTTCTTTACTTCAGTCTTGTTATTATTTTCTAGAGAAAATTCTTTGTGCAGCACAATTGTACTACAAACGATGCCCAGCAAAAATATAAGTCACGTGCTGCTATGCTATACAGAGAGAAATTAGGCCAGGCATCTGTGCAAGCTATGCGCCGTTATGGTACAAAGGTATGATTATTGAGGGGACATAAAATATATTTGGTAGGATATTGTTAGATTCCTCTTAACTATGAACATAATTATAGGTTTTTCTTCCTACATCAAAAATAAAACAATGGTGAGCTAAGTAAATGTTTTGAAAAACCAGTTCTCTTTTTTGCTAATATTCGCTTGTGACATCTGGCTAAAATTTTTTCTACCTCTCATGTACATGTATCCTTATCATTCATTCAATATCCATGTAATACAGTTCTCCATAATGGTTAATCCACAACTGTTCAAATATATGCGCTTGGATGTTTATAAAGCTATTCACTTTACAAATATAACAAACTCAAAACCTTGTCTGAAATTCATATATATTTTCAAAATGTGTTTTTATGAGATGTATTCTTCGAGATTTCTTCGATATTTATTTATTCTTTTTTTTCATTGTACTTAATCTGTTTATAGTATTTTGTAAAATATTTGGGCAAACTTATTTGAATATTCTATTAATCATTCAAAAAGATATTTTGTATTCACAAATGCATTTTTTTTCAAATTATTGATTAAAAAAGTTGTGAAAAGATTTTCTCACCTTTATAGACCATTAGTGTTGAATCATAGTCAAGTAACAGCTAAATTCCCAATAATGATGGGCATGATATTATGCAAGTGTGTATTAATGAAAAAGACTGACCAAATATATTAAGAACGTTTACATTTAAATATAATTATTCTTCTTACAGTTACATTTAGAAGAAGGCGGTACAGAAATGGTATCGGAAGAAGCAAATGAACCAGATTTCTTCAAACAACATGAAATTTTAGATTCGCATCAGAACGAAATGATAATTCCAACGGAAGAAAAAGCATTTCTCACATCTAATACAATGCCAAGCAATGATAGTACAGAGAAAAATGCATCAGAAGTTGCCTCCTTAGGACCTTGTGTAAAACTTTTTGATCCTATCTCAAACGTGCAATCTGAAAGGAAACCTACCATAGGCTGCAGAACAAGCCAGTCTAAACGTCCTGGCGGTGTAAGTTTATGATGAATGTAACAGTCGCAATAAAATTGTATTACGATTGCCATAGTTTTTTTAATTACAGTTAGGAAAAAAAACCGGAAGCTTAGGTGCTCAGAGAGTTAAAACAAATTTCGATGAATTGGAGAAAAGTGTCGCGGAAGCGCATAAACTGGCGCAAGAAAAGAATAAAGAAGTGACAAAGGAAGAACAAGAGGAACTTGCTACTCGTCTGGCTCAGCGATACAAAGAAAATTTGAGTCAGCAGGCCAAGAAAGTGAATGAGAGAGCAAAACATATGGATCCATTAAAAGCCACTCAGGCGGAACGTCTTGGAATGGGATTTAATGCACGAAGGTAATAAATACGCGGTCTCTTGCTCTCTTCTTTCGTATAACTTATTTACAAAAGAATAAGTTTACGTAAGTTTTCTTATTTTTTTTCCATGATGTTTTTAGTGGTGCAACTCACTCCGCACTTGGCGACATGAAGACAATAACGCAGGAGTCAAAGGTCATAACATCAGCAGAAGTACTTTCGGGAGAAACGGATACTTTCTTTACCTTAGACGAATTTTATTCGGTTTACGCTAATAGTAAGCCGCCGTCCTCACGTAGTGAGGAAATTGTGGTTGTGACAGAACCAGAACCTCCGAAACGATTAGCCCCCTCCACTCGAACCATACTTGCTAAGAGTGATACAAAAGTTTCGTCTACCGTCGAAGGAGAAGCTCAGAAAAAGTTTGGTAGCGCCAAGGCTATCAGTTCGGAGCAATATTTTCAAGACAGTAACTCTGACAATGCGGTAAGCGCAACTTATGACTATAACTTTTCTAAAAATATATCGGAATTAAATTTGATTTTATTGCCTTTCCTTTGATTTATCTTTCTAAATTTTCAGTGGGAACGTAAAAATAATTTACGTCGTTTCGAGGGTTCGTCCAGCATTTCGTCGGCCGATTATTTCGGCACCGAAAGCTCGACATCAACCTCACCGACCTCTTCGTTATCGATGCGTTTGACCGCGGGAAGAGCTGGTGTCGTAGATCTTGACGATGTCCGGGAAAGCGTGCGTCAAGGCGTAAACAAAGTTGCCGGGAGACTCAGTTCGCTCGCAAATGCGGCGGTCTCTTCTATACAAGATCGTTATGGACTCTAAATGGAATTTATCGCATTTTATGAAAACTTGTTATAATACTTATTCGGACCCGGTCTTGTCCATTGTTCAGAGTTGTAAATAAAAGCTTCTAATTGAGCTTCCGCGTAACTTATTCTTCGAGTATGTTGCGCGCGAATATTGTATTTTTATGAACGATGAACCGGTGACGACGAAGAGTGCAATGTAAAAGTTGAGTCATTGAGAATGAAAATACAAATACAATGTATTTTATAAATATGTTTGCTTTATCACTTTATAACAGAGTCAATGTGTATTGCGTAATATATCGTACAACAAATATCTATATCAAAAGTCAGGGGTATGTTCGAGATGAAAGTAAAATATCCACAATAATTTAGATAAAACATGATAAAATATCACTAGAATCTAGAACAATTATAGATCTATATCCGGTGGTGGGTTTTGGCAACGCAAAACTAATTGCGAACATGGTTTACCATGGAGAAAGCACACGAGTATCACTGTCATGTTGTCGCAACCGGTACCCATAAGGGCATCCGGTGCCAGGCAACAATTTAGAAGTTCCTCGCAGATTTCCTCGGGATGTATCGTGACGTTCTGATGCGATTCTCCGTCGCCGTGTTTCGTCTGTGCTAAACGTGTTCTCACGAATTTGACTACCTCTTCACTGGTCATTACATCCCAAATTCCGTCGCATGCCAAAATAACAAATTCCCATTCCTCATCAACAGTAAATTGTTGTACCTCAGGAAATGCTATGGATTTATAACTTTAATGTAAAAGTTCAATCAAAAGTCATTCATTTCACATTCGATATTTCTTACCAGTTACGATCTGTTCCTGCGGTGGCTTACGGTCGTTGCGTTTAAATATAAAATCTCCAAGAGCACGAGACAGCGCGAGATTACCGTTTACTCTTTTATATTCAACAAAACCGCCGGCTGCTTCGATTCGTTTGCGCTCTTCCTTCAATGTAGGCTTATGATCTCGACTGAGAGGCACCGTTCTACCGTTGATACACGCCACTGCTCTGCTATCACCTGCATTAGCCTATAAAGCTTTTCCACTGGTCAGAAATTCAGACATCAAAGAATATTGACTCTGCCAAAATAACATGACTTACACTGTACAAAATGTTATTCTTTATGAGAAGCGCGATTACAGTTGTGCCAGCATGTTCGTCTCTAAGTGCAGCATTATTCTGCATTGCTTTGTCCAATTCTAGAAAGCCTTGTTGTATACCTCCTATGATATCACCCTCCTTATATTCACTCCTCTTAATTATATATTCATGAAGATGCTTTCCAGCATGCTGTGCCATAGCTGCACCTATAAATACATACAAATATGTAAATGCCGAGTTTATTGACATATGTTGTTATTCAAAATTTTGTTTATGCTGCTATTAAATGAATCTTTTTATTCTGATACTTACCTCCATGTCCATCATAGACAGCGAAGAATGCAGTACCTGGGTCACTGGGTAAGGAAAGTATGTGCACATGTGAATCTTCCATTTTAATGCGCCATCCTTGCATACAGGAACTGCCCACTCGGTAGTTGTTATCTCGACAACAGGCCGACTTCTTTTTCGTTATCGGCTCGCTGAGCGTTTGCCCCATCTTTTCTCAATGAATATTGAATCTACTTACAAATAACGCGCGCGATTTAATACAATATTATTGATATTGCAATAAATAAGTCAGAATTAAATGAATTCAGGCATGCTCTACTTCTAAATTGTCAATTTGCAAGAATTTTGCTAAAACTCATTACCCTGTACGATTAAACGTTGTTATTCAAGAGTCTTGAATTTAAATACGCTTTACTTTGTTCTGATTTCATAACAGTTTCCTATACAGAAATGCGCTGGGACGCGCGTAGCGAGCGATCAATCAGTTGTCAACTCCACCTCGTATTTCTCTTTGTGTTTTCCATTCGGCTATAAGAAACGATGCGCGGAACATTAAAGCAACCTACGCAAGCAGACATCGACCGAGATAAACAGCTGATTTGTTTTGATGACGTAACGATGCTATTCATTTGTTGGCTGTTGTGACGTCTTATACATAAAAATTTTTACTTGTTCCAATGAGTTTTGGAACGCAGTTGACAAAAGCTTTAGTCCCGGTCTACAATAGGTAATTTAAGCCCTAAGAAATTGATCGATCATAGTCGATTATTCTCCTATTCTTCGACTATGTATTCCGTTTCTTGCATGATGCGCATAATGCATCATTTATCCTTGTTTAATGTATAGTTAATAATAAGGATAAGTGATACATCGTGCTCATTATACGAGAAACGGAACGCATCCTATGATTCAACGGTGCTTTGCATTGAGGTGGAATGGGGGTAAAACCTAACTTTGCTTCGCTGCATAAAATTGCACCTTTAATTTTTTAACACAAAGTAAAAATATATTAAATATATTTAATAGCAACTTTTTTGATAAATTTTAGAACGCAGAATTGTTGTTAGTCATTTTTGATAGTTTGGAATGCAAAAGTAAAAATTTGAAAGACTTTTTTAATGAACTTTTGAAATACGCGAAATTTTGCATAATGCCGTGTTTTTTCAAAGAGTTTTGGAACACGGTTATGATACTTATATATATATATATATATATATATATATATTCAGACAAAAGAAAAATGAAAGTTCACGCGAAAGTGCAAGACTTATGATATAAACGATCAAGTATAAAATTTAAAAATGTACGTTGTATAATAAAATGAAACTATATGATTATCAATATCAATTATTGTATTGATTAATTTAATTAATCGCATAACATTATTAATGGATTGTGTTGTATTGTCGAAACATTGAAAATAAAGCGTTATGCGCCTAACCTAATTTAACGTGAATCAGATACGTAATTATCTTTCTCGAAAGGTTTATAAGGGTATCAAATTCGCAAATTAACCTTCTTCTGAAGTTTGTAAATAAAAATAATAAGATATTTCGATAATTATTTAGAATACGGTCTCCGATTTTGATAAAATTGGGCTCAATCAACGAGGTTTCACTCAAAATAAAGATATCTGGCAGAAAAACGCGGCGGCCTGCTCCACAAACCGAGATATTAAGCGTTAAAGTTGATCACTTTTTTGATTGTCCGCTGCGTTTTTTTTGCCAGATTTCCTTTATTTTGAGCACCATATCAATTGAGTCTAATTTTATCAAAATCGTAGGTGAAGACCGTATTCTAAATAATTACCGATATTTCTCTCTCATTTCGTGTAAGAAAAATCTTTGATGTGATATTAATTTGAAAGTCTAATCTAATGTATATGGTATATATATATATATATATATATATGGTCGTCATTTGTTACAAGGCATAAAACGTTACTCTGTAATGTAAAACAACGTGTAAATAAATCATTTTTATACATTATAATTCCCACGATATAATTTAATGTGACATGTGTTTATATATCTTCACGTGACAGATAAATTATTTTTAATAGCTAAAAAATTAAAATTTTTATTAAAAAATTAGGCACAATTAATCTTTTATATAATTTTAAAGGATTGACAACAGTGAGATAAAAAGAAACAAATATATGTATTGTGGTTGATCACATTTTCAAAGAAAGTATAGAAATCATAGAAAAAAATGGCAAGAATTAATCACGCATATATTTCAATAAGCTTGCGACAACAACTATTGCAGCTATATCCGAAAGGTATAATGAATAAATATTTATGATTCAATTTATGCAGTAAATTGATAAATAAAATGTACGTTTGTAATGTTTCGACAGATAATTTTTTTAAAGGATTCGTACGTCTGTTCTCGTCTAAAAGTGCAAATGAAGTCAGCGAGAGTCCGAGAATGCGTGAATTCAGAAAAAAATTGCGCGAACGCGCTCCTATAGGTATGTCATCGCATTAACTCGTAACTTATATAAAATGCTCATATAAAGATTTAAAAGATTAAGAGAATCAAACTTTGAACGTAACAGAGAAATTAGAAGAGATGGAGGAGGGCAAACATCCTTATCAGGAGAAAGAACCTCTAAAACCGTTCCCGAACAATACAAATCCGGAGACGGGCGAAGTTGGAGGTCCCTGCGGACCAGAACCGACTCGTTACGGCGACTGGGAAAGAAAAGGCCGTGTGACAGATTTTTAATGTTATTTAGTTTATTGTTTGTTTAATAAATTATAAAAATTGCTCACATCGAAACATTGGGCGATCCAAATTTATATGATTAATAATTTGTTTTAAAACACAATGTTATATTATTAAAATTCAATTAAAAATTGTCTGTGTTAATGCCAAATCAACAACATTTCTGTTATAAAAATCTTTTTTTTTGTAGAAATGCTTTTGTATTAGCGAGTTTGACAAACTCAGTGTTTAAATTTTTACTGAAATATTAGTTAAAGTTAGTTTAAAAAGACACATAATTAGACTAACAATGAAAGAATTTATAAGCATAAGCAACAAGAACAAGTTTACTTAAATTATAAAAAATTGGAGTAAATATGAAATAAAATTAGATATTTGTTAAAAAATTTTGTAATCTCTCGCATCGAAACATTCAACGCCAACTGTACTCTACATATATTGTATATTATAAATTGACGATAGTGTTTTATTAACATAAAATCATCAATTATCAATATTTTGGTATGTTAGTCGTGTCGTGTATTTAAAAAATATTTGTATAATGATTAGCGTAAACTATATTTTGAAGAATTTGCAGATAAGAAATTTTAAAAGATTTGTCACAAGTATGAATCGAGTTTGATGCTTCAGAATATTTCAAGTTTGCAAATTGGATTTTTGCGAATATAATCATCTCTATTTATATAATCTTCATCTATATTTCTGTTAAATATAAAAATCGGATAATAACGTGTCTAGGTACCTTTTCTCTACAAACGAAAGCAGTTTTAAATGAGATCTTACAGAACGACCGAGAGTCACCGCGAATGAAACAGTTCCATGAAAAACTGAAATTACAGCCGATACCAAGTATGTAATTAGTGATTAATAGACTAAAAAGATCCATTTTTTTATGATATAAAAAAACTTTCACAAGAGATAAATCATGTTCAAAACTTGAAATTTCTATATTGATTCTTTTTGATCGATATATAGAAATAGAACCGCGAGAACGGTTCGTGGACTTAGTATTAGTGGAGATTGATTCGAGAACTGGAGAACTAATACCAAATAGTGAGAAGGATCCTACTAAATGGGGAGACTGGCAGAATGGTGGTAGAGTCAGCGATTTTTGAAACAAAGTTGCCATGTATTTTCTTATTGATTGATTCTTTATAGACATTAGTATATTTAAAAAACTTTGAGAATCTTCTCTATTTGCAAAGATCAATCTATTTTTGGAATAATTCATCAAAAATAAATCAGAAATTCAATTTTTTCGATAATCAATATTAAATAAAATGATTTAAATTAAAATCTTTCTCAATATAAAAAAATATGAAAATTGATGTATATGTAGAAAGGCATTTGTATTGCAAAACAAAACTTGTATATCAGTGAGGTAATAAATTACATTATACAAACGTGAGTCTTCTTGTGAGACTACAATACCCGAGGATAAGTTTCCAGAAGTTACTACAAATTTATCAGTAACAATATTTCAGGTTTATGAAATATTGTTATTATGGTATTAACCTCATATGACTTTCTTTTAGAAAGTCTGGCACTATGGCAACCTACACAAAAAGCTTATGTCGTTATGCAGATTATCAGTACATTACATATACAAAAATATGCAATACTTTGTCAAATACTGAATACTGTATATTAGGATAACAAACATGTTATACATCAAAGCGATTAAATTTCTCGCTACTAACGAGTAATATAAAATGAACATAGAACTAAATCATTAACAGACATTAGTGTATCGTGTTAGTGTTAAAGATTGAATGTATCTTTAGGTTTCGCGTGAACAAATTATTTCAAATCAATCCATATTCGTTGATAAAATAAATTTTACGTCAGTAGCAGCGAAAATTTATTTAGCCAAGATATATAATAAGTTTTCAGAACTAATACTAACCGTTCACGTAGAAAAAGAGCGTAGTTAATTCTACAAATATATCGTATCAAGAAACATATGTACACGATATTTTAGTAAAAATTTCATTTTGTATTTATCAGTATGTATGTTTTCAAAATTCTTCCGATCATATCGAAAATTCTTAAAAAATAATGTACTACGAGGTTACATTGTTGCACATGAGATGCAGAATTTCGTCCTCCTTTTTTCCTTTTTGGCTATTGGTCGATAGCGAATGGATCATTTGATTAATCTCACTATATTTCCTTAATATTTTCTTAGAATTTAAAACAGTACTGACAGCAGAGTGTGACATTTTGCGTTATCAGTACAGTAGTTTCGTAAGTGTAGTTCCTATTTACATGTATAGCTTCCCATTATGTATGCTTTAACACAGGAAGAGTTTCAGCTTTCGTACTTCTTAATACAAGAATATGTATTACTTGCGCTATACAGAACATATAAAATTTTGTTCAAAAAGTGAAAATAAAAATTAGCAGATATTTACATAATGATGGTCTTCTATATAATATGATTTCTTATGTACACACATCATATATTCCTAAACAACATATGGTCAAAAGTGTTTAAAACAGAATTTAATGCAAACAAAAAAAAGTAAATATTTTATATTGATTTAAAAAAAAAATCTTTTGTTGATTGTATGAAAAAAACTTCTGAATGCCTTAATAAACATAATCAACTTACATAACACTTCCATTCAACTAAAATTTTGAGATATCACGTAACTTAACGTACAATTAAATTAAGAAAAATTAAGTATTGAAAGAATGAAAAAAGTTCTACATATAAATATTGTGACATTTAAACGATTGAATATCGTCAGTCTTTTACCTAACATCAACGTCTGTATAGCGTAGTTCGCACGTTCAAAAATCATAAATCTTAACAATTTATAAACTATAAAGTTTTATTTATGGCTAACACATCCCGCATCATCATGTTTCTGAGTGTCCATAAGGCGTTTACCACATTCCCATGGTTTCCAACACCATTACCCAGCCACTCGGCGGGCAGTTTTGTCACATCGGGAATTTGCGTATTATCCGAATTGGCGTTCATTTGCTTATCCCAATTTGATATGTAACGATTCTCTACATTTAGACCTTCAATGTACCTATAGACAAAAAGAGATATGACAAGAAAGATATTTAAACACGATATCGAGGATATCTTTTGCGTCTAAATATATTACCTCAAATATGCGTCCGAATGTAATACGCGACTTGGTCTTGGTGGCACCGCGACAAACATAGGTTCTGGCTGTTTAGCGGTAGGTAAGCTGCTTGTCTGAGTTGCGGCCGCTGAAGTTTCTACGTGAAATGTGTTTTTCCTTATTCGTATTACATTTATATGAATGTTGTAATAATATATAATTACCTGTTTCCATCGGTGGTAATACCGTGGGTCCCTTCGAGGGCATGTAATTTCTGCAAGAATATAATCGCACAATGTTACACAATTTACAAAACAATTTACGCACGAAAGAATCAAAAAGAATAATTCTTACCTGCTCCTTTCGGAAGGCGGTATTATGCGTCCATGCGATTTGAGAATGTGCACTTCCTTAACATGTCTTGCGAGTCTTTGCACGCTCGGGAATGGTGGAACGGACTTCTTTGTTCGGCCGCAACCACGCCACTGGCACTGATATTCCACATCTATCGATAGATTGTCAAGAGAATTTAGCCCTTTGTATCGTTCGATTTTATTCCGTTCAGCTTATAATTGTACTCACCAGTAGGAGCGTTTACGAACGATGATTGTACGTGACCGTTCTGTTCCGCGATGCAGTGATCGATACAATCAGTCATGTCCTCAAACTGCCAGTCGCAATTATCCCAACAACATTCGTACACAACATCCTGTATAGCATTTGTGCCTACTGAAGACGTACCCTTCAGCTGACCGCCATCCTCGTTCATTTTAATTGCCCGTTCCTCCCATGCTTGCTTCTCTCCCGCTGGCAATTTCCTCCACTGAAAAGAAAGTGATTTTATGTTTAACGTGATCAATCCCGTTACATTACTCGTAATTCATGGCAGACAGTTGGCAAAACCGTTTTAACATTTTAAAAGTGGTTCGACAAACTGTTTCGATGGTTTCTCTCTTCTTCGTGAGACTTGATAATAATCATTTATACACCGAAAATAATGATGATACAAATAAATGTGCAGATGCAAAATAATGACGACACACATCGTATTGTATTTTGTATTTATGTTTTACGACTGTATATTTATTTGTATCGTATTTTTTCGATATATAAAAATATATAGAAGCTATATTGTTATAATTTGCATGTGATACTTATATATTATGGAACTAGAAAGAGAGTAGCCATTATGATGTAACATAATTTGGATAAAGGATCAAGTATGCTGAATTATGTTTTATGCAAAGTGTGTATGCAAAGTGATATCACTTTGTATATATTCAATCATATTTTTAATTCTTATTTTGTCTTAAATAAATGTCAGATGATCAAAGTTTAATGTAAAGTTCAACAAATTTGATGCTTGGATGCTTGGAAGACATGGTGTAATTATGTATGAGAAAATTTATTCTGCATACATTCCTTCATCAAAATTCCACTATAATGAACTAAAAAATCAACAGTGGAAAATAAATAAATACCTCGTTGCCAACAATTCTGCTAATCTCTCCGAAGGACGATTCAGGATTGTTTTGTGTAATCTGCGTTCGCATTTTACTCGAATACAAAATATAGCCCGTAACTAATTTCTTACCCGCCGTTTTCTAAACAGAAGAGAATACACAAATTATAATGTTAACGTTTCATATGAACGAGCATATTGCCTTTATATCTCTCAATAGAGATAACATCAAATTGTCGATCTATTGTTAAGACAAGTGGTGTCTTTAAACGGTGCAGAGAACGAAAAGAGGTACGTATGCTGGCATATTTCTCTAAATAAAAAGAAAGTGAAATAAACAAAATATGATGTGTGACAATAGTTGGTAAAAATAAAAAAAAAATAAAAATAAAGAGGTCTCGGTAAAGCCTACCTTTTTGGTTGATACAGGTGTCTGAGTATTGGAGAGCACCGGTTGAGCTTCCGTAGATCCAACGGATGGTGGACCACCAGCATCCATGCTGTCTTCCCCAACTCCTACTCCCACTCCCACTCCTAATCCTACCCCCATGCTTAGTACATCTGGTTCCAGCTTCGGTAACAATGGTGACGCTTCCTACACCATTTATGTTTATGTTACCTTTGTTATCTCTTACTACCGATCGTGAAATACATATTTTCACGACTTTCTTCAGTAGTAAAAGTTGATTCATAATAAAAGGAACTTCACGTCCGTTCGAAAAAAAGCTATCGCAAAATTCTTCCACTTTATCTTCCATATACTTAATCTCAAATGTAATGTAACCGATGTAAAATCAATTTTTTTAATTTAATACCATCAATATGTGTATATTGATGTAATATACGTGTAACTATTAATTGGAACTTTTTGCATAAACAAATTAGTTAATATATATATATATATATATATATATATATATATATATATATATATATATATATATATACTACAA